TTAAAAATTTGTCTGCCACGCATTTAAGATTTATTATTTCCACTTACCACAATTTACTTTTCAACAACTCCAAAAATTAATCTTATGCACAGAAAATTAGCAAAACTTTGCACATAATTTCCAAGCGCGGGAGAAAAAACGCAAAGAATCAGTTTAGGCATCACGTATCTAGTTTTCTTATTCTTTTTCCTTATCCTGTCAAGACAGAGGTTAGGTATCGCTAATTAGTTGGGGGAGCAGGAGTGAGGCAAGGTCTCCTCAAGCCATCAGTAGTTACGGTGGTCGTGGTATACGCTGCCGCCCACTGCGGTGATCGTAAGTGGCGACGCTGATCCTGTTAAGCCAGAGATGCGATACTGTGTGTGATGTGGAGGACCACAGTGAGGAGGACCACAGTGTGGAGGACCACAGTGTGGGGGACCACAGTGTGGGGTACCACAGAGTGGGGTACCACAGAGTGGGGTACCACAGTGTGGGGGGACCACAGAATAGAGGGAACCAGAGTGTGGAGGGGACCACAGTGGGGGGACCACAGGGTGTAGGGGACCACTGGGTGGAGGAGACAACAGTGTAGGAGGACTACCTTGGGGAACCACAGTTTGGGGGGATGCTGCACCGCTGCTTGGCATCAAACAGCACAGACATCGAGGCGAAGCAACTTGTTCGCGATCTCGGAGTGTTGACGAGTACCGATCGAAACCATGTTTAATGACCACATCTAGGAAATACATGCAGAATGCAGACAACGGATAGGGTGGATCTGACGGACGTTTCGAACAAGAGAAGCAGCGCCAATGATTACAGTCTACATAGCCCTCTTGCTCCCCAATCTTGAGTCCTGCTGCCAGCTATGGGCGCCGCTCAAGGCGGGCGCGATGCACAAACTGGAGGCAGTCCAGGACTTTCACGTCCAAGATCAGCTGTATGAAGGACCTAGAGCTGAACTACTGAGGCTGGTTGAAACACCTGCAACCGTAATCGCTGGAGAGGAGAAGGGAAAGGTATATCATATGTTGGACTTGGAGATTATAACCCACACTTCCCAATTTGGAAGTGTGACCATCGGAATAGAGACATATCACAACGAAAGGAGGAGAAGACTTTACCGAATACCCCCATTTAACGATCGCGCTGCACCTAGAGTTCAGACTCTTTAACAAGGATCCCTTTCCATTGCAGGACCGAGAAAAGAGCTCTGGGGGGAAAGTTTAACCATGCGACATTCATGACGAGTGGATGAGTTTTTGAGCAATATCTCGGATTGTCCTGACATGGGCCACCAATTTAGGCAACTAGCAAGCAACAGCATCCTGCATTGGATGGCTCAAATGTGCACAGATGCACAGGTGTCACGTTTAACCTTACCTACCGGTCTCGGTGGTGGGGCAAACTGCCCATCGACGGCTTGCGGACGTAGGAGGACATAGGTGGCGCATCAGCACCACCGTTGTCAACGGTGTTCTAAACTCGACATCACGATGACAGTGTGGGACATGAGGGACACAGTGTGGGGGAATCACAGAGTGGAGGAATCACAGTGTAGGAATGCCCAGATATGACCTGCGTTGTGGTAATATCGAGGGAAGTTGTCGTAAGATCGAGGGATTTTGTCGTGATATCGAGGGACGTTGCCGTAAGATGCCTTGTTATTTTTCTTTTGTGATAATTTATCATTCAAACATTAACACTCAAAAATTTGATATACCATACTGTCCAAAAATAAACTTACTTTATTCATCTAGCTTTGATACTCCCTTTCGCCGGACAAAATTGGGTCAAAATGACCCTAGCAAAGGTTGCATTGCAATTTGGGAAAAGTGTCTGAGTGTTTTTTTAACGGTAATCGTTTTTTTATCCGGATTTTAGCGTTTTTATAACGTGGATAACGTTAACGCGGCCATCTTGCCTCCGCGAGACAAACTAATCCCGCCGCCGGTCATCATGCTTGTTCACTTAGCATAATAATATTATTTAATGGCGAGCGGGAATAATAATATTTGGATATGCAAGCCTTGTTTAATTTGCATATAAGAATATTACAAGCTAGGGTTCGCTCCCTGCGGTACGGGGCGAACTGCCGCTGCACACAGAAAAATTAATGTCTAAATTATTGTAGTGTTGTCTAAATAACGAAATAATAATGCTGTATTGTCCAAATAATGACGCACTTTCCGCTCGTAACACTGTCATGCCATTATAGTGGACCAAAGTAGGTCAGGATGACTCACATAAGACGAAAGAGGTCATCATTGTTTGTATAAAGCATCACATAGTTGCCTGAGTGAGCGGTTAGTAGGTGCTTAGCTGGAATGTGTATGAGTGGATTGCTTCTATGATATAAAAGCTATCAACTGCAAATAAGGCATAATTTTAATACAGAGAAAAAATATTCAAATAAATACTGCTCTTAATGATGAATAAAATACGTTGCATGAACTACTTTATATCAAATCGAATGGAATAACCTTAATATAAATTGTCCGATTGCCACTTGGATTTCATTGTCCTACAATAAATTGCTTATTTAAATTCAAGGAAAATTCTGCGCGATACCTAAAACAGCAGGCACATTAATATTATTGCTAAATCAAATGATTTAAAAAATAATCATTATGTACTGCCTGATGAATTTCCGACACTCAAGAAACTTTTGATAGCAGAAGACCCTAGCGTCCTGCACTCAGAAACAGGAAAAGGTCATAATGTGACACACTTTCATTCCTACAGCCCAAGTAGACAGAAGAATTAGCTCTTAATTTCTCTTATGTCGAGAAGAGATTATCTTAACGTCTGGTATAAAACTTCGAGGGCACAATACAAACTTTCCTAGGTATCAATATAAGTATATTTATAAGTACAAGTATACATAATATATACATAATTCAGGCAATACTGCGTCGATTTTCGTGAAATTCCCCGACGGCGATGAATTTTGCGTCGCACTGTATCGCACTTGATTACTTTACGTCTAGTTGCGCGAGAAAGAAAAGATGCACGCAAATCCGCGACATGCTTTCTACGCCAACCTCGTTAGGTTAGGGTTAGAGTTGGGCGTGTAAAAAAACTTTTAATGCAATTACTATGATAATTCAATTGAGGTTTTTATATTTAATAACCCATTGAAATTGTCAACCAATCAAAGTCACGGTATTGCAAATTATTACTAGTATATATGTAAAGCTGTGTTTAGTTAAAATTGGATTAGAAGAATTACAAGTAGAAGTAGTAGAAGAAATGAGTGTGTGTGCGAATAGGCCAGTCTGCTCTGAGTCAGATTTGTGAAAGATAGATGGGAGTGATTGCAGGAGTGAAAACAGCAATATCTGTAAGAATACTATTCGGGAACTTGCCTACACCTGCAGTAGTTTGTACAGGAGTACCAGAAGGTGCAAAAGCTGTACATGTAGGAGCACGATTAGAAGTAGAAGTATGAGAACAAATAGGAGTAGTAGTAGGATTAATGAGACTCGTATAGTACTGTATTCAATAGTAGCGCAGGCTGGGCCACCGCCCGTCATGGGCCCCTGGGGGAGGATCTACAATGCGGCCTCAGACGCCCCACACGATTACCGTGATGTTGGGGGGTGAGGGGAGATGTGGGGAGTGAGGGGAGTGAGGGGAGTGAGGGGATTGTGGGGAAGGGTTGGAAGCAAATGAAGTGAGAGGGAAGGTTGGGAGCGAAAGGAGTGAGGGAATAGTTTAGAAAGAGAGTGGGACTTTGGAATGTGAGGAATGGAGTTAGGAGTGGGGAGGACGAATGAAGAGATTTATAGATGTGGAATGGGGAATAAATGAAAAAATATAACTCAGTACTCACTGCAGTGAGTGACAGAGAGCGCATTTTCTCGTCGACGAAAACGTGAAGTCATGGACAGACGGACGGACATGACAGACACAATAGCGCCTTTTTTCCATGAATGAGAAAATGCGCTAAAAAGGACGCTGGTATTAACGAGATGGTAGGAGGAGTGAGATGAGTTAGCGGGATGAGGGGGAGTAGGATGAAGCGAGGAAAGTGGGGAAATGTGAGGGAGGTTGGGGCAGCGCGGTGGAAATTTTCGATTATGTTAGTTGGGGATACCAAAAGTTCGCGTTGCGGGGACGTGTATTCTGCCAAGCATGTGACGTTGAAATAATGTAAATAAAAGTTTTCCAACGAAAGAATCAATCAAATGGCGTTGTTTTAACATTATTTGTCTTCAGGTATGTTCTGTAGATGAGCGCAGCTGATAGCCGCGTGGGTTAAGGTTCTTAGGTCAGGTATTATTTGCTCTGAAAATTATGAGCAATTGGGTCGTTGTAAAAATTGGTAAATAAAATAAATGGGGAAATTTGTTAATGTGAATGAATAAATGAAAATTTTGGAGAATAATTAAATCAGAAATAGAGACCATACTACTAGGTCATTCGCAAATTAAGATGATGTCCGGGATTAGAAAAGAAATCAGGTTACAAATTTTTGAATAAATTCGCCTGAAATGATAGAATCGGGAATGAAGAAAATGACGTATGAAAGAAGGATTCATATTTAACAGCATAAATCCTTCCCCCTTTCAAAAATTTTAAAAATTTTCGTTCCAGAAATCGATTAATAATTTCGACCCTAAAATTAATTAATACTTAAATCCATGGCCATTTTTACATCTGTGGTTGAAAACTTTCCAGATTTTCGCCCCTTTCGAAATGCAATAAGTCAATCGGAGATTAGAATTCCCCTTAAATGCAATAACTCAACCGTAAATCGGGAATTCACTCATATTCAACGCCACCCTGACATCAAGATTCATCTTAATTAACTTTATTCACCTTCACCTAACATTAATTACCATACGTTACCTCCGAAATCAAGATTCACCGCCGCCTCAAGTCGGGAAATCGGGATTACGCGCAATTGCAACGTCAACCGGAAGTTGGTATTATACTTGCATGCAAGAATTCAATAGTGAAGCAGAATTCCTTCTAAACTCAACAAGTCTACAGTAAATATAGATTCCACTGACCTGTGTGGATGTAGGTATGTTTCTTCATGTCGCTCTTCTGGTGGAAGCGCTTGCCGCAATACTGGCAGGGGTAAGGCCTGGTGTCGGAGTGGATGAGTAAGTGGGTGGATAAGGTGGAAGATCTCTTGAAACATTTGCCGCACTGCTTGCAGGAGAACACTTTCTCTGCGCTGTGAACCGCTCTGCTAAAGAGGTAAGTAATCTTTTAGTTATACCTCAGCCATCATTTGCTTATACTAACCGCTCTCATAGAGATATTATTTATTAGGTCTTCCCTTCGTTATCACTTTAGTGGTGTCTTAATTATGTGAACCGCTCTGCTGGAGAGGTTAGCAATCTTTTAGTTATCCGTTAGCCATCATTTGGTAATATTAACTGCTCTGATAGAGATTTTATTTATTTCTAAGTTATTCCTTAGTTATCACTCTAGTTTTCCCTTAATTGTGTGAACCGCTCTGCTGGAGAGGTTATATACCATTTAGTTATCACCTAATTATCCCTTAGTTATCCATTTAGTTATTCATCAGTTATCAGGACTGCTCTGCTAGAAAGGTTAGTTATCAATTCAGCTATCAGTTATTTCTCCAAATCTCTAGTCTGTTAGGTTAGTTAAAACCCTCTTGCTAACTTTACATGATTGATGATGTAGGAGTCTACCAAATAATTAAATGTTTTACCACGCAAAAATTATCTACTCTCTGAATTGTACTTTGTGTACTCCAAATATTTCTAGCCCCCTTTATTGACATTTATGTTGGTAAATCATATTGCTCAGAGGTAAATTCCATAATGTTCTCTAACTTATTACAAATTATTTCTAAACTAGTGATAATGAAAATTGTCTTTCGTTTCGGAGCAAATGAAAGCAACGACGTTAAGTATTTTTTCAGCCAAAATGTGTTTAAAATAAGCAAAACGGCAGTTTTAAAGAGCAAAACCGTAAGGTGCTCCTCAAATTTACTACAAGTTCAAGTAACGTTTTCTAATGCACTAAGTTCGGTTGTTAATGAAACCATTTTCAAGTTATTAGCTAACAGTCCTACGAGAACATATCAGCATTATCAAAGCACTTCGAGCAAAGAACATTTTATTTAAGGCTTGGAAGTTTAACTGGGAACTTGCCTGTGTTGCGTAAGGCTGATCTCGTGGCCGAAGGTCTTGTTGCACATCTCGCAAGCGAAGGGTCTTTTGCCGTTGTGGGATCGTCTGGAATGGACTTCCAGACCATGTGGGGTGGAGAACATCTTCTCGCACTTGATACAGGAGTACACGTCACCCCCACCCAAGGCAAGGGGTTTGATTAGTGACCCATCTAAGGCAAACCCATCCATTTGGAAATGGCTTCCATCGAAAGCTAAATGGCCCCCTTCCATACGAAAAGGGGGTAGTGGACATTGTGATAAAGACCAGGGGAATATCCGATGTGGTTCACCCATTGGACCACACAAAGAAGAACCGAAATGACTAGTTAGTGAACTGGATAAGGAATTTCCAAGGTGTGTAGATAACGAACTCCCAAGCTGACCCGACAAAGAGTTGGTTAGCTGGTTGGTCAGCTGACTTGCGTTGAGATTCGAAAGGCTTTGTAAACTTCCCAATGTTGATATTGATGGGAAGCTTCCTGACAACGGATGTGGTAAGTTTGGTAAACTAGAGAGGTTGATGTTTGCTATGTTAGTGATATTAGTAATATTATTACCAATGTTAGAGAGGTGCCATGGAAAATGCTGCATTGAATGGTGATGCAGACCTTCTTGGGAGGTGGAAGATTGTGCAGTAGATGTTAACATTGGAGGTGGGGTTGTGGATGTAGAAACTGATGTAGACATCATCGTCTGCAAAGAATCGTCTAAAGAAGCTGACATTGACGATTGGGATGCTTCTGTTTCCATAGCGTTTCGTTTGGAGTTTTCGTTTTCTGAAGTGAGTGATGACAATTCTTTTTTCGAAGTATTCGGACTTGGTGGATATAATCCAAAACCTAAAGGCCTATGTAAATTCATAAATGCTTCACGGTTACTGGAATTCAAACACAAATGTGGCATGAATGTCCGAGAAAGAGGCGAAAACTGATGTACCGGAGACATTTTTGGAGAGGATTCCCTAGAATTAGTCGAAGACTTACTACCTACTTGATTTCCATTTTCTGTGGTTTCTTGTGAAGTCTGAAAAATTGGATTATCGGATGCGATTCGACTGAGATCCTGTCGATCAGGATGTAGTCTGGGGTCTGATAGTAGAGGTTGAAAAGCTCCTGTGTGGCGTGAAGACAAACTGAATAAAGATTCGTGGTTAAATGGTAGTCGTAGAGGAAAAGAAATTTTGTCTTGTGAAATTTCATGTTTTGGCAAGACTGAGGTTGGTGAAAACATGCATTTGGGAGACGGGGAATGTGTGCTATCTTTTTCCCCATCGTAATTTTTGGAGTCAAGATGCCCCTTTGGATGTGGTCCCCCAACATCTATGTCTGAATTAGCTTCTTCGTTGTCATCTTGATCCATCCTATTGCTTAGCATATCATCATCAGCATATCGGTTTGTATACTTGTTCGTCGATTCATTCGTGCCTTCTACATCTATTGCTTCTTTGGTCTCGTCATCTTCTTGTCCATTTTTCCATTCTCTCTCATCGTCATCTCTATCTTCAGCCATGGAATGATGCCACCCTTTGTTTTCAATTCGAGTTTCATCAAGTTGGTTTCTGAATGTCCGCTCTTTCGAAAAGTCTGCAGGCCGGAAACTGCCGAAGTTTAAATCGATTGATGCATCTTTTGTCGGGTTGCCATTTTGATCGCTGCCGTTTCGGTGCTCGTTTTTGTTGTCGTGGTTTTTCTCGTGGTTGTTGTTGCCAACAAGGGAAGAGATGGTAAAACAGGATGGAGTTCGGCGCTCTCGGGTGACGCCATGAGAGTCCCAGAGTGGACGAGGTTTGCTCGACCAAAAATCTTGTGGTTGTTCTGCGAAGAGAAGAGGTAGAATTTAAATGTCATACTGATTCATGGTTGACAAACCTGTAAAGATAGGAGCTGGGAAAATACTGAGAAATAAATCACCAAATTACTTTGGTGAGTACTGAACTCTGTAATGAAATGAAACTAACAAAATTACTATACTCAAACCCACCACCCCAAATTTCTGTGATGGGGGTTTCTACCTCTGTGAAGAAAAGAAAGGGAATTAACAATCCCTACCAAATTAAATAGGTGGGAGTTAAAAAATCTGCAAAGAAATTCAATGAAATCCCCTATTAGCCTTAAACGCGGTAGGAGTTAACAATACCTATTATCGGGCTGCAGGCGAAGTCAACACTAGTGTTTCATCGAGTAAGCAGATTCATAAAATTTGAAGAAAATTTGATATTTTCAGTCGAGTTGAGATACCGTATTTTGCTAGCCACGTTAAATTAAAATATTTTTTTGAACGGCTTTCAGTCGTTACAAATTCCAACGCGTGATGCCTATTTTATATAATGTTTCTACTAATTACATTTACGTCGTGTACCGCAGATAAATCTAATCGAACATAATAAAAAACTGAAATTTTGTCGTTTCAGGCTATTAATGCAGTACAATTGAACATAACTGAGGGACGGAGACGAACGAATATAAATTCAAAATGACAAATAAAATGAATGCTCTTGATTCGAATCAATGTTTCGATTGTTGAATGTGTTGAATAAATAAATTATACTTTAAAATGTTACTGTATAATTGAAACTAAAGATACGGTTAACCATGAATTTAGACGATTTATTTATAAATGAAATTTGTATATAATTAAACAAAAATCTAGATCATTACTCACTGCAGTGAGTGACAGAGAGTGCATTTTCTCGTGCTCTCTCACCACCGAAATCACGGACGGACGGACAGACATGTCGAGCACAATTAATAACACCTTTTTTCCATAAATGAGAAAATGTGCTAAAAATAATGATTTGACAGCCTAAACAATGAAATGCATCTCGAAATCCAGTCAATCCTAATGGCAATGAGATTTATAGTCATTCGATCCATAAGGACGTTTTTTTTCTTCCTGGGGATTTTTCATCGGTGATAGCAATCCCCATGGAAGAACTGCTCCTAAGGATTATTCCTTGAGGATAGCTGACCGTGAAATCCTAACGGAGGATTTCCTCATCGAGATTACTCCACAAGGATTACAAACTATGTAATTCTTATAAAGATTTAAACATAGGGAATTATCTATGGGGATTGTAGAAATGTAATCCTCACTCAAAGGAATTAATCCTAGGGATCATCAAGTCCCTCATATGAACCTAAATAAAATTTGTTATTCAGCGTACATTTGTGATTTAACTATACTAAATTTATCTTCCATGAGATCGAAAATTATATATTGGTTCAATAATGAATGGTGGAAGTAATTTAACCGAAATGATAAATAGAATGACGGCAATTTAATAGGTTATTCAAATAATAAACAAATATTTTATGCAATTCAATTTGAATCAACTTTACAAATTTTTAAAAGGCGACATATTTAGGAAGAAACATTCCCTGCAACGCAAAAAAAACATTGAAAATTTTTACGTAGAAAATTGGATTGTTGATAATACAAGTACATATATTGAAGTCATTCATACTTTTTTCCGTATTACTGTGTTGAAGAACTTGTTCTTGTTTCATTTATGAACGGAAAGAAAAAAATTACTTAGGAAGTGTAAATAAAATAGAAAAAATGTATTCTAGCAAGAGAAACAAAAATTAGCAAATGAAGTTTCTGCAAGCCACGCCCCAGGAGCTGTTAAATCCAGCAAATCCACTGGCAGCTTCCATCAAAGTAATGAATCAGAGAGACATGGATCGCGTAATCCACAAAGATCCTTCGATCCTCAGCTTTGATGTGTAATCCAAGCCAGGGTGCCGCCTTGGATAAACACTCCACGGGATGTACGCCCTTTTTGGGACAGTGTTGCGTTGTAGTTTACGATCAGAAAAATTAGTGAGTCGCATTGTCCAAGCAGTGACACACTTTAACTGCACGTAGCACTGATACGTCATTTTGCCGGTTAAAACCGAGCCTGGATGACCCACTTAGGTGCAAGAATTTTGTCCCTATTAGGACAGTTTCAATCATTTTTTGAGATATTATTTCAAATAATATTTTTTATATAATAATATAATATTATATTAAAAATTTAATTATTATAAAATTCCTGAATATGGGTAGAAAAAATAATTGTGAAATAACCGTGAAAAATCAGTCAGACTGGCGTTCTAGTGACCGGCTGCCCTATTAAAATACATAATTTCACCGTTTTTTCCAAATTTGTTACGACTTTCCTGTGTTAAATTTGCAAAAAACTGTGAAATTGTGTTTTTTCATGTGCCTACCGGCCACTGAATTTTGAACAGTTTAATATTCATCACTATATTCCAATATTACATGAGGAATGTTTAATAATATTTGTCTAAAATTTTCATTATGTTTGTAATTGCTTGGCTCCTGTGTGTCTATAGTTTCCAGTTTCATTATAACGTTCGATATTCTTTCATAAAAAAAGTATAGTACATATCATCATCATATTAAATGTATTTTATGAAGAATGTAACATCCATTTCATATTCATTCTCTTCATGTGCATTTTTCGTCCTGAATTTTCAATTTCCATTTATTGGAATACTTATAATATATTAACTAATATTTCATTATATAAAATATCAGCTTGAGACTACGGTAACGAAACGTCAGGTGGCTTTTCTCGTATGCAGCATTCACATAAATTAGTGAGACTTGTTCCACTTGTTGATGCACTTGTAGCTCTTGAGTGGGTCATCCTGATCTTGGGCTGACCAATAGGCATTTCCATCTAGGATATGTCTAATAAATAGGCATATACATCAATATAGGCATATACATCAATATAGGCATATACATCAGTATGCCTATATATAGGCATATCCATCAATGCTCATGTCGCACTCTGCTCATGATTTGGCAAGTAAAGGTTGCCTCTATTTCGATAATATCAGTCTTTCATTTTAATGGGTGTAGAATTTTCCTTGAATTAAATCTTATAGATGTAATAGCCGTATATTACATTGATAATAATAATCAATATCACTGTTAGAAAAATTACCGCTAACGGTATTACCGGCGTTTCAGTGGCCGGTCGGCACGTGAAAAGAAACACCGTTTCACCGTTTTTATTCCAATTTAACACCAGAAATCCGTACAACATCTGATAAAAACGGCGAAACAGTTTATTTGCACGGGGCGACCGGTCACTAGAATGCCGTTGGGACCGTTTTTTTTCAGCGTTTTTTCCAACAGTGTATTATAGCTAAATATTATAATAATTCTTTAGTTTAATCTATGTTGAACTATTATTGCTTGCTAATTATTATAAATTAAAAGTCAGATGTTTGAAATGAAACAGTTTAATTTCTTGATTTCGATCGGTGTTATATAATTTTAATTTTCCAGTCCTAGCCTTTGGATTTCCGAAGAAAAATGATGAATTTTTGTGGCAACTCAATGTTCGTTTTACAGGGAAAAAATGCAGTGGGCTGAGTTTTGGTCGCAATCATTCCACTTGTTGCAAGATTGCCACTATCCTTGCAACAATCAACGTACAACTGCTGGCCATAAAGCCTGATGTGGCGTAGCTTGCCTGCTGTGGCATGTCACGCCGTAAGTGGCATGCCTGCTGTGGCATGTCACGCCGTAAGTGGCATGCTGGCCTGGAAGGCATTTAGTTAAATCAGGTAAGAGCCGCTGACGCGTGTGGCTGCTCACCCACGTGGCACGCGAGCACGCGCCACACACGCGAGAGTCCGCATGGCGTGGGCAGATATTGAGTAAAATTGATTGAAAACAATTATATATTAATAAAATTAATTCATTTAATTAAGTCATGAAAAATGTTTAATATTTACCGATTATTTTACATTTACCAATTATTCAATATTTACCGATTTTTTAATATATATTCCGATTTTTTAATATGTACCGATTATTTAATATTTACCAATTATTTTTTATTTATGCAGACAATCGGTGTTACCATATGTACGACATTTGGAAAAGATTTAGTACCCAATCAAAATTTGGGGACCGCCGGGACGCCTGTCGGAGACTACTTCTGTCTTGCTCCGAATGGACCATCATGATCCCTTCCCTCAAGAACGGAGCCTTAAACAATTCCGCACTATCACATTATCAGCCGTAGGCCACCACGCAGATCACATATGTTGAATAAGATCAATCAGCCTAAAGATAAACAGCCTGCAATAGAATAGCATGGAACCTCTGCCGATACGCGATAAAATTTTTTAGACTACTCGGACTGAGTGTTTCAAAACATTACAGTAAAATTGATTCTCACCAATTACCTATCCGTATTCATCCTTTTCATCAAATCAGCCTACGGTCGAACGGCCTGACGGTTGATTTTGGAACAGAACGATGCTTTTCGAAACCTGACCTTAGATGCCGTGAACTAAAAATTACGCAATTTAACGATGCCACCGAAGTCATATTTGAACCGCGGCCTGTTGGTGCACGGCAGGTTTTATGCAATTCCCTAAATGTTTTAGGGAATTGCACTAAATGTTTTAATAATGCTTAACATATATAATTTTTTTTCATTTCCTCTATCGGTGTTGCCATATGTGCGGAATTTATTCCGGCGTTGCTATCCATCGTGTGGCCATTAGCACATTCCAGAGGGTCGTCCCTCGGACGTGGGAATGAGGGAAACAATCATCCAAATGATTGCCGGGAATGACGAGCATTCCTGATGACCGCGTCATCGTCACGCCTGCGAATGATTGTCATCGTCGCAATCATCGGCATAATCATTCACCTGGTCCTCCATTATTATTTGATCATAATAATTAATTTAAATAATCATTATGCCATTTCCCCAACCTATCCCCATCTCCCCGCTTATGGGGTGGGGGGAGTGTGGTGGAGTGAGGTCCAGAATGTG